GGGCCCTTCCATTATATTCCATTCTCGGCTGGCTGGACTCACCCAGCTATTGGGAGGCGGGGGAGGGGGAGCAGAGAGAAACAGTTCCGCCCTCACCTCAGCTGAGCTTTATCTCTAATTAGGCCTGGCCCATCCTCTGGGTGCACCAAGCCTAGTTAATTGGCTTCTCAGGTCCATATTAACCCTTTCACTGAATGTGAGGAGCAAATCCTATGGCCTGAAAGGATTCGAGTGCTGCAAATGCTGCAGAATGAGAGGAAACGTTTAGGGTGATTCTGAGGGGGAAATAACTGAAATTACATTGAGTCTCAGGATGTTTGCTAACAGCGTCTCCGAGGGGGATGATCCACAGAGTAGGCTGCCATGACAAAGACAGGCTTTGATTTGTGCATCTCCGAGGGGGATGATCCACAGAGTAGGCTGCCGTGACAAAGACAGCTCCTCACACGCTAAGAACTCCCCTGTATTGATCAGCAGAGCCATGTGGCATTTGGGTGCCTGAGAAACTCTGACCTGTGGCCATTCTTAAAGATTTGTTCCATCCGTTCAGGCCTCCTTAGTGCAGAATCAGAGCACCTTGTTCTTTGGGTGGTACCATTCCTTTTCAGCGACCCGTGTGTTTGCAGTATGTGCCCACCGGTGTCCTCTCATTTTTTCCACCCTTGAGCGGTTATGTGCACCAGTGTGGAGCTGACGTGCAACACCGCACCTTCCTGTTGGGGCACATAACAGGGGTTCTGAGTGTGAGGGGGGGCTCAGGCCTGAGGCAGAGGGCTGGGGTGCAGGGGGGTGAGGGCTCTGGCTAGGGATATGGGCTATGAGCTAGGGCTGGGGATGAGGGGTGGAGTCCAGGAGGCGGCTGCAGGCTGGGGGGTAGAGCGGAGGTATTTGGAAAACAAGAGGAGGCTCTGGGTTGAGGCAGAGGGCTACAGTGCAGGAGGAGGTGGGGTTCAGATTTAGCTGGGCGGATTCTGGTCAGCAGTCCTTGCCTTGCAAGGAGCTTTGCCTGCATTGAGATTCTGGCCCTGAACCTGCGAAATCCAGGGTGTCTTCTAGCCCTTTGTCCTCTGTTTCATTGCAGTACTGTATGGGGCATGCACTGTGGGGAGTGAATTAGGGATGTCTGTGTACAGTCGTGTAAACGATTAACATGCATCCTCCCCACCCAAACACTGCTCTCCCCCGCCCTTGCTGCCTGTATCAGAGACAGCAAGTGGGGGAGGGAGGAGCTGGTGCCTGTGGGGAGACGGCTTAAAAGCTTTACGGAGCCACCTACTCTCCCCGCGCTGCTGCCTCTATCAGGGGATGCCAGCACAGCCTCTGTCTGCGGAGAGCTCCAGCCCCCCACGGACAGAAGCTGCTGCCGCCCCGTGTGAGCCGGTCTGTATGGGGAGCTGGTTTTTAAAATGGCTCCCCGTGTGGAGCGGCT